CCCTGCTTTGGGACTTTTTATTCCAGGATACAGTCAATGTAAAAACCAAAATCAACAAAACCAAAAATAATCTAAACTCAAAACAATTCCTGAAAGGCCCAGAAAACTATATGCTACCATATATCTTTTACTTTATGTTCAGTTTTATTTCATTTCAAAATTCACATTCGACTGGTGATAATGACTTCCTTACTGTGTTTCTTTTGTGGTCCCCTTCTTTCCTTCACCCTCCCTAGAGAATAATTTTTTTTCAAATTTCCTTACTGATTAAAAGAACATTTTAGACCTCTTAAATCCATTTCTTTGTTTACAGAAGCTATAAAACCTAGTTTACAATTGTTTCATGTTGCCTCAGCTTTGAACAAAGAACACTCTAGGACATCAAACTATTCCTTTGAAGAGAACAATCTCTCAAGCAGAGCCAGACCCTTTCCCAGCCACTCCCTGAAGTTTAGACAACCAGAGCATTGCAATGTCAAGTCTTTTTCAAAGTTAGACTATACAATGTAACCCGCTCTAAGCCACTGTTTCTCAAATTGTGGGCTGGGCTTCAGGTGGAAGGGGAGCTTCCATAGGTGTTCCAGTGGAACCTTATAGACTAGACTTGCAAAGGACAAAGGAGCAAGTTATAAGACTGGAAGAGATTGGCTCATCTACTTTTCCTTCCATCTTTCTTTCACGCTTTCAAAACATGAAATGCCGAGAAAACTCAATAAACTACATTCTTTAAATATCTATTCTGTAGAAGGCTGCTTCTCACTATTGGCTTTTTCTATCCACCCCCTCTCTCTTTCTTAGTTCCTGAAGGATAGTGTCATAGAAGATAAATAAACAAGATGGAAAGATAAAGTTTTAAAATTATTTTTCTAAATCAAAGATAAGCAATTGTGGTGTGTCTGAGTTCCCAAGGTGCCTCTAGATACCAATAAACCTCTAATCTAAGAAGTCAGAGACAAGTAGAAATTTAAATAATGGAAACTGAAGGCCCAAAGTGTCTCACCCAAAGTCATTCCTACATTGATTGATTGATTGAGTGATGGATCGATTGAGTGATTGACTGACTGAGACCGAGTCTTACTTTGTTGTCCAGGCTGGAGTGCAGTAGTGTGATCTTGGCTCACTGCAACCTTTGCCTCTGAGTTTAAGCGATTCTCCTGCCTCAGCCTCCTGAGTAGCTGGGACTACAGGCACGTGCCATCACACTCGGCTAATTTTTTTGTATTTTTATTAGAGATGGGGTTATAACTTATTGGCCTGGCTGCTCTTCAACTCCTGGCCTCAAGCAATGCGTCCCCCTCAGCCTCCCAAAGTGTTGGGATTATGGGCATAAGCCACCAGGCCTGGCCCATTTCTGCCTTTAGATCCCAAAGACACAGATGGTTTTCTGTCTCAGACAATTCCCTGAGGTTCATTTTGGAGGAGGAGGAGGCTGTCTGAATCTCCTGTTCTTAATTAGCTTGTTTCTTAAAATTGATTCTCATTTTGCTGGGGTTTTTTTTGGTAAACATAAACAGTACAAAGTATAGTCCTCATAATCACTACACACCACAAAGTTCTGCTACTTGAAATAAAGCAATGAAGAAAATTATGTTTTCTAACATACAAATAATCATTCTCTCCAACGGCAACAATAAGGAAAACTTAGCATTTATATATTTTATTATCAAATTGATTCAAAAGTTAAATTGGTTAGCTTTAGCATCTACTCTGTCTATATCTCCCTGTGGATGACAATTTAGACAATATGAACATTTTGAGATAAGAATTTTTTTTAAATATCCGACATCCTTCCATTGTTAAAATTCCTATATTTGCTTACTATAAAAGTCAAGGCTTTCTTCCATATGTTTGCCAAATAGCCAAAGATCCTATTTATGGTCACCTACATGTATAAGATTAATAACAGAAGCACTATTGATTGTAAAAGATTAGGGACAGGTGCGAGGGGCTCACACCTGTAATCCTAGCACTTTGGGAAGTGGAGGTGGGAGGATCACAAGGTCAAGAGATGGTGATCAGGCTGGCCAACATGGTGAAACCCCATCTCTACTAAAAATACAAAAATTAGCCTGGCACGGTGGCGTACACCTGTAGTCCCAGCTACTCAGGAGGCTGAGGCAGGAGAACTGCTTGAACCTGGGAGGCAGAGGTTGCAGTGATCCAAGATCACGCCACTGCACTCCAGCCTGGCAACAGAGCAAGACTCAGTCTCAGAAAAAAAAAAAAAAAAGATTAGAAATAATAGGAAATTGATAAATTATGGCTCATCCACACAATGGAATATTATTCAGCTAGAAAAAAAATAGAAAGCTCTTTATATGTTTTACAGAATGAGCTCTGAATGGTTTGGATGTTTGTCTCCTCCAAATCTTATGTTGACACATGATTCCCAATGTTGGAGATGGGGCCTGGTAGGAGGTGACTGAATCATTGCGGCAGATCCCTTATGAATGGTTTAGTATCATCCTCTTGGTGATAGGTGAGTTCTTGCTCAGTTAGCTCAATAGTGTTCTCGTTGTTTAAAAGCATCTTGGACCTCCCCCTCTCTCTCTTGCTCCTGGCTTCTACCATGTGATGTGCCTGCTCCCCCTTTGCATTCCACGATGACTGTAAGCTTCCTGAAGCCCCTGCCAGAAACAGATACTGGCACCATGCTTCCTGTACAGCCTGTAGAACCATGAGCCAAAATGAATCAATTTACTTTATAAATTAACTAGCCTTAGGTATTTCTTTATAGCAATGAAAGAATAGCCTAATACAAGCTCCAAGATACATTTTTTCACTGAAAATGCAAATAAAGAATACTATGTAACAGGTTACTATTTCTGTTTGTTAAGTGAGGAAAATATATATTTAAATACACATACCTACAAATTTTCTATCATATGTTGCATAGAATATTCTAAGGCCTACTAGCAGTTTGTCCTCCATGAGGAAAAAAAAACCACACAGATACAATGATAGGACACAGGCTTTCCCTCAAATATCCAACATGAATGTATTATTTATTTATTTATTTTTTCTTTATTGAGACTGTGTCTCACTCTGTTGCCCACGCTGGACTGCAGTGGCACAATCTTAGCTCACTGCAACCTCTGTCTCCCAGGTTCAAGCGATTCTCCTGTTTCAACCTCCCGAGTAGCTGAGACTACAGGCATGTGTCACCACGCCTGACTAACTTTTGTATTTGTAGTAGAGATAGGGTTTCACCATGTTGGTCAGGATACTCTGCAACTCCTGACCTCAGGTGATCCACCCGCCTCAGGCTTCCAAAGTGTTGGGATTACAGATGTGAGCCACTGCGCCAGGCCCAAAAATCACGTTTTTAAATTTAAAAATAACTAAGACTACCATTAACAACAACGGTGGAGCACACACAAAAGCTCAGGAAGGCTGAACAGTTGTCATGTCTAAAGAAGAGTATTCATGCGGAGAAACATAATTTGAACAGAAGACTGGATCTACTTTGGGAAGGGCTTTTCCTTTTGCAATCATAGACTGCAAAAGGGAAAGAAAAATCAAGCAAGGCATGCTGGCACACATCTGTAGTCCCAGCTACTTAGGAGGCTGACGGGGGAGAACTACCTGAGCCCAGGAGTTTAAGGATTCAGTGAGCTATAATAATGCCTGGGCAGCACAGCCAGAGGAAGGGAGGGAGGGAGGAGGAGAAAAAGGAAAGGAAAGAGAAGGGGGAGGGGAGGGGAAGGGAGGGAAGGGGAGGGGAAGGGAGGGAAGGGGAGGGGAGGGAATTAATTAACATCAAGGTGCCAAAAAAACACAAAGAAAGGATCTAAGGAAACAGGAAAGATTTATAAAGAAAGGTTAAAAGGCTAGGGTTATTTAGCCCAAACAACTTCAAGCCCAGGAATCTTTCCACAAATCCTTGTTGTTGCTGAGATGGAGTTTCACTCTGTCACCGAGGCTGGAGTACAGTGGCACAATCTCAACTCACTGGAACCTCCACCTCCTGGGTTCAAGTGATTCTCGTGCCTCAGCCTCCCAAGTAGCTGGGACTACAGGCACATGTCACCACGTCCGGCTAATTTTTGTATTTTTAGTAGAGACGCAGTTTTACCATGTTGGCCAGGCTAGTCTCATGATCTCAGGTGATCCACCTGCCTCAGCCTCCCAAAGTGCTAAGATTACAGGCATGAGCCACCATGCCAGGCATCTTTCCACAAATTGTAATTACAGCTATACTCCATCTCAACTAAAGACAGGGAAAAAAAATTAAGTACTCAGCCCTGTTGATACTATAATAAAGATGAATAAAAATCACTGGAAACTTTGGGAGGCTAAGGCAGGTAGATCATGAGGTAAGGAATTCAAGACCAGCCTGGCCAAGATAGTGAAACCCCGTCTCTACTAAAAATACAAAAAAAAATTAGGCGGGCGTGGTAGGGGATGTCTGTAATCCCAGCTACTCAGAAGGCTGAGGCAGAGAATTGCTTGAACTCGGGAGGCGAAGGTTGCAGTGAGCCAAGATGGCACCACTGTACTCCAGCCTGGGCAACTGAGCAAGACTGCTCTGTCTCAACAACAACAACAAAAGTAGCTCCACAAAGGAGGAGGGAGGCTTGATGAGAGGTGAGGGAAAGGGGCAAGCCCAAATGATTTGAAGTAGGCAAACATTAGGACATGCAGCTCAAGACAATTTCTTGAAGCAAAGAGTAACATCTCCTTTTCAGGGAGTATTTTATAACAGAAGCTCACTGGTTCAAATATGGTCCTGTTTGACCATATTGGATCCCTGATATAGAGTCCTCTTATTCCTTGTTATCCCGTTACCTCAGTCTGTAATGAACTAAATATGGTCATACCAAGCAAATTCGAAGAACAAAACATCATTAACTTGGAATAATCAGGGAAAAGATATCCCTAAATCACAAAATATTTGAGAAATAAGTGCCATTATTTTCTAATACACTAATGCCAATGGCTGACCAATGAATGCCACTCACTACAATGTATAAACTATACCATTATGAAAGAAGCATTGCTTATGGATACCCTTGTTTCTGAAATTAAATCAGGAATCTGCATTGCATTTTTGAACTATAAACTGTTTAGCTTTTTTCTTCTTAAAAAGAACAATGACAAATTTAAGTAGAGCCCCAAAACTTAAATACAGCAAATGACCACAAATTCCAAAACTGTCGGGTTTAAATTAGCATGATCTTTTCGTAATGACATAGCAACTGCATGACATTTTAAGAGCAAGAAAAAACACTGGCAAGTAGGATCAATGTTGACACTTAATAGGGATTTACTGAATTTTTTTTCCCTAAAAGCTTAAATCATTAACTGACCAAATACTGAGGAAAAAGTACCTGGTTGATGGAATCAGGTTGAGTATCCCATTGAGAACATAGCTGAACTCTGCATGATCCTGAGCAACAAGTGCCACGAGACCTTCACAGCAGGCTGTTCGAACCACTACATCGTCACTGCAGCACTTCTCCCACAGCAAGTTCAAAGCAGGAGTCTGAAACCAAACCAGCGATTACAAGACAATTCTGATGAGCAGCAAACACCTTCATTCATCAATGTGTAATGTGTTCACGGTAGGCTAGCTTTCCTATATAAAGATGATGCTCTTATTACTCTGTTCCTAGAATAATATGAAGTCAATTTTCCAAGAGAGGTAATGGATGTGTTTTGATATAGCAACTCTCTCTCACCTGGTATCGTGGCTGTAAAACAAGGCTGGCTGCAGGTAGAGGTATGACCTGAGTTCCAGTCACACAACAAAGCTAAGACTTGCCTCTAGCACGTTGCTATAACCAGAGAATTTAACCAGACACTAATAGCATCAGTTTATCAGTTAGTCTAAGTTGAAGTCCAAATACTATCTATGCTACAAGCCTTCAATGGCAATAACAGTTATTTTCAGAAAATGTTCCTGCTCTCCTACCACCCACCTCTATGGCCTACATGCACCTCACCACCACTCACAATGCCCCTGCCACAATTTGTTGAAGTCTAATGTGCGCCCAGATAGAAAAGAGAGAAAGGTCACACACGGTGGCTCATTTCTGTAATCCCAGCACTTTGGGAGGCCAAGGTGGATAGATCACAAGGTCAGGAGTTCAAAACCAGCCTGGCCAACAGCCAACATGGTGAAACCCTATGTCTACTAAAAATGCAAAAAGTAGCTGGGCGTGGTAGCCTATAATCCCAGCTACTCTGGAGGTTGAGGCAGGAGAATTGCTTGAACCTGGGAGGCAGAGGTTGCAGCTAGCTGAGACTGTGCCACTGCACTCCAGCCTGGGCAACAGAGCATGACTCCATCTCTAGTTTAAAAAAAAAAAAAAAAAGGAGAGAGCGAGAGAGAGAGAAGTAGGACAGACCACCAGCAAGCTGCTCATTACATAGCTATCACCCCCAAAGAAAGCCTAGGAAAACTGTTTTGCCCAAGAAAAAAACTAACTTTTTCCCCCTCACACTGTGAATCTGTCTTTATTGATAGAAAAGCATGAAAAGGACATACAAGTAAATATAAGTTTTCATTTTGGAAAAATCTATCAAAGCAGGGGTTCTAGCTTTTATAATTTTCTCAGGAACCCAGGATCACCAAAAAGGTTTACTGCTAACAGTAAATCTGGGCCGGGCGCGGTGGCTCAAGCCTGTAATCCCAGCACTTTGGGAGGCCGAGGCGGGTGGATCACGAGGTCAAGAGATCAAGACCATCCTGGTCAACATGGTGAAAACCGTCTCTACTAAAAATACAAAAAATTAGCTGGGCATGGTGGTGCGTGCCTGTAATCCCAGCTACTCAGGAGGCTGAGGCAGGAGAATTGCCGGAACCCAG